GGGGGGGGGGGGGGGGGGGGGGGGGGGGGGGGGGGGGGGGGGGGGGGGGGGGGGGGGGGGGGGGGGGGGGGGGGGGGGGGGGGGGGGGGGGGGGGGGGGGGGGGGGGGGGGGGGGGGGGGGGTGTATTTCTTGGATTTAGAGAAGTCTTTAGCCTAAAGATTAGAATGCTGAATTCAAACAGAGCATTCATGGAGGTGTCATTAAATGATAGACTAAGTAGCTTTTTCACCTCCTGCATGAGTCCCACTCTTGAGTAAATTTATGACTTACCTTTATTTGCTTTCTCCTATGCAATGCTAAAATCTCATGTTTGCAGGAGAGGATGAGTCAAAGGGCGAAGTAATTGCGAGCTTAACAAGGTACGCAATTTACTAAATTAACTCAGAAGTTTCATTTTAGTAACTTCTCTTATGCATCTTAGATAAATCTTGCGTTTATAATAGTTCATAGACCAAAATGAATGAAACAAAATAGCCAGGTGAGGGTTGTTGGGTTGAAAAATGAAATGGGGTTTGTGTAAATTTGGAGAGGCTGACAAGTCACTGTATAGATTGTACATAACTGTAAACTGCAAAGTTTGTCCTGTGAGATAGAGAGCACAGAATGGTGTCTTTTTTGGGGTTTTGTAGTCTTCTTTTTCTGTCTGACTTGTGTGTTGCTTTCATGGTGATGATTCCTGCTATCTGCAAATCTCAAGTATTATAGGTGAAAAAGCAAGGCACAAGGATTTGCACCTCGTTCTCTTAACTTTCACACGAGAGAGAGAGAGAGAGAGATAGAGTTTGCATGTGTTTGAGAGCTGCATATCTCACAGGTGGCCCTTTATTTCAGTCTCTACTTTGATGATTACTCCCCCTTCATTCAACTCTGATAACACTTTTTAGGTTACAAAATATTAGGAAGATCTCTCTACCTTTTCCTCCCATTTTTCTCTCTTTTAATGATATGATGTTACATCTTTGTGCTGTGATTTTCAAGGTTTTTGTTCTTTAGATTTCGATTTTAGGGTGGGTAAACTTCTCTCTAGCATACGCATTTTAAAAATTTTGAGGGAAAATCCGAAAGAAAAATTCCAAATAGGACAATATTCGCTAGTAGTGGGTTTGAGCTGTTACAAATGGTATTAGAACCATACACGGAGCCAATGAGGACACTGGGTCCTGAAGGAGAGTGGATTGTGACATCCTGCATCGATTGGATAGAGGAATGAGTGCCAGCGAAGACACTGGGTCCCAAAGGGGATGAATTTTGAGATCACACATCGGTTTGAGATGGGTTATAAGGGTGTAGGAACCTCTCTAGTATATGTGCTTTAAAAACTTTGAGGAAAAACCTAAACGAGAAAGTTTAAAAAAGACAATATCGACTAGCAGTGAACTTAGACTGTTACAGAATCACTCTAAATCAAGGAATAGTATTCTTACTCTTTTAAGGTGAGCTTGGACCTAACAATAGTATCCTTGAGGTGAGTGGAAAAGAATGGTATCCCTAAAATAATAATTAACAAAAACTTGGTTGGTAGATAGGGATGATTATAGAAATGGATTAAGGCTTTGAAATCACTTCACCCAATGATGACATCAAAGGTACTTACTATTCATTTATTGCAACTTCAGTCCTTTCAACTCTTCCCTCTCGAACTTCGAGCCCTTTTGCTTTGTAATTTGTGATTCACCCTCAACTTTTTACCTTTTACTTTCTAAACTTTACCATTTTAGTCTTCCTTCCTTGCATTTTCGTCCTTCACTTCTTCCATATTTTCATTTTAGTCCTTCCCATTCATTTAAATTTGCAATGATTAAGTTGCCTAAAGATTGTCTATGAATTTGCCCTTCAATTTGTTGTCATTTTTTTAAAAGGGTAAAATGATTAATTACTTAAAAGTAAGACAAAAGCGATGGAGTGGGACACAATACACTTTAGTTAATTTCCTTTTGAGAGGGTAAAACCGTCACATCATTATTTTAATATCTTCCCCATGTTTGTGCTGTTAATCATTGGGGATTAGTTTAGTCATGTGTTAAATGATTATTAGAGGAAAAGATAAGAGATTTTGTTAGTAAAATACTGATTAAAGCCACCAGCTTCATGATTAGAACACTTTTCTTTAATCAAAGTTTTACAAGCACAATGCAGCAGTTTGTAATTGACCATTAGACTCGACCATCGACCACCGAATATCGGAACAAGAAACTCAGGTTGATTTGCTATAAAAGCGGATACCAACTGCCAGACCCAAGATTGCGAGAGGGACCAGGAACTGGAGAAGCTTGACGATGAACTCGGTCGTCTTATCTTGATTGTAGTGAGGCTGCTTCGAAGCTGTGTATGTCAAACGTTCAGGGATTGTCGAGATGTCAATGTCTCCAACATAGTATTTGTTCATCGTTTCTCTTGCACTCTCACTATGACCCACGTCTTCGAAATCATCTGTTGCATCCTTACCTGTTGCAATGAAAAACTCGTTATATGTAAATGGTGCATCGACACTCGACGTGCATTGTAAAGAACTAAAGCTATATGCCGAAACCTGTGCCAGACAACAACACCTCGTCGCCACCGGGATGGTCTTCCAAGAACTCGGTTACGTTGTAAACCTGTTGGGATAATCAAAATGGTCAAGATGATAATCTCAAATGGCCTCTCCTGGAATGAGTATTCACATTTGGGGTCCAACAAAATTATCAAATAGCAACAGTATAATCAAGAATGAACAAGATCTAAATAAGGGCAGCAGCGACCGACATCAACCCATCATACAACATAGCAATGATGTGTTCACCATTCCTCGGACACCTGATTTTTGATCGGTTAAGTTTAACACAACAGGTGTCGAATGTCCAACACTGTAACAGCTCAAGCTCACCGCTAGCAGATATTGTCTTCTTTAGGCTTTCCTTATACTATAACAGCCTAAACTCATCGCTAGCTGATATTGTCATATTTGGACTTTCCTTCAAGGTTTTAAAATGCGTCTGTTAGGGAGAAATTTTCACACTTATAAGAAATGTTTTGTTCCCCTTTCCAACTGACGTAGGATCTCATCTCACAAACACCCATTAGGTCCTATTCTCACAAGGTATGCATAAGAGCACCCTTAGTGAACAAGAGCATTTGCACACACAAAAATTAAATGAGTCAAAACACTAAACTTGAATGAATCCATGGGCTGCGTGATCCAAGGTACATTCACAAGCTTTAAATCCACTATATGTGAACTTCTACGGAACACAAGCCCATAAACCAAGCATACACGAATGAATCCAATCACTCCCTTCCATTACCTATTGACACATATTACACAAACTCAAGATTTCCAACTTAAACAAACCAAGTGATTGAGGCATTTGAGCCTTATTCAAGAAATTTCTACCATGAGAGCCACAAAGCTAAAGAACCTATCTTCTAATGCCTTACTACTCAGTCTCTAGCAATTTCTAGAACGAGAAACGCTACCTTGGTGAGGATGAAACATCACTCTCCAAGAGGATGTTTTTGGGTTTGAGTTTGCCTGTGTTAAAAGTGGTGATTAGGAGGGAATCTTAATTGTTATTAGTGTGAGATCCCACGTCAATTGGAGAGAGGAACGAGTGTCAACGAGGATGCTGGGCCCTGAAGAAGGTGGATTGAGAGATCCCACGTCAGTTGAGGAGGAGAACAAAACATCTTTTATAAGAGTGTAGAAACCTTTTCCGCTTGAGCTGTTAAAATGGTATCAAAACTAGACACAAGGTGGTGGTGTGTTAACAAGGCTAGCCCTGAAGGGGAGAGACATTGGGCAGTGTGTCAGCAAGGATGTTGGGCCATAGGGGGTGGATCGTGAGATCCCACGTTGATTGAATAGAGGAATGAGTGTCATTGAGGTCACTGGACCTGAAGGGGTGGATTGTGAGATCTCACGTCGGTTTGAGAGTGTAGAAATCTCTGCCGCTTGGACTCTTATAAGTGGTACCATTTGGACTCTTACAAGTGGTATCAGAGCCAGACACATGACAGTGTGTCAGCGAGGAGAGTGAGCCCCAAAGGAGGTAGACATGGGGTGGTGTGCCCAACGAGGACGCTGGACCACGAAAGGGGATCATGAGATCCCACTTCGATTGAAGAGACGAGACGAGTGCAAGTGAGGATGCTGTGCCACAAAGGAGGTGGATTGTGAGATCCCACCTCGGTTGGGGGACGAAACATTTTTTATAAAGGCATGAAAACTCACATTTGACATGTTTTAAAAACAAAGCTCGAAAGCGAAAACCCGAACAACATATTGATTCAACTATGAAGAACAATGGGTCTGTCCACAATGCATGTGAGATTCCAAGAACAAGAACACAAAAACAGAACAAGCACAGAATCAAACTCCTCCAGGCATCCGAAAGAAGAAAGCCCAAAAACAAAGTAAAGGGTGTTGAAGAAAAACCTTGCCATTGATGATCAACCAACAGTCCTGGCGGGTATTGTGCTGAGAGACTTCAGCCAATGTAAAGACCTTTCCGTGGCCACCCATTTGCCGATCTCCAAGGCAAACAAGGGTGAATGTGAAGAAAAAGGACGCTGCAGCAGCAAGGGCGGGCGGGGCAGAAATAGAGATGGGTGCGAGTAAATGCGTGAATGTGGGGGAAGGGGAAGGCATTGAATTGAATTGAATTGAATTGAATTGAAATTTGGTGGTGGGTGAGTTATTGGTTAGCAGTGATTTCTTGATTCGTGTCCAAAATAGCCGACACTTGGATTGAATGATTCACAAATTATGGAGAAATGTTCCAACTTTCAAGGTGAGAAAATTTTTAAATGTGAGTATGCAATTCTCGCCCAATTGTAACGTTGTGGGGGAAGGAGGACAGCCCTTGTGTCGAGTATCGAGAAAGGAATCCATTTGAGGCTCGACCGAAAGAAAGGGTCGCTCAAAAAGAGTTCGTGACACAAAATAACATTCATTTATATTGTGCTCGTAATGGTATTTAGCTGTTCAAAAGTCTCTCTTATGAGATCTCACATCGGTTGTAGAGAGGAACAAAACATTCTTTTTATAAGGTTACCCAAACCTCTCCCTATCATATGAGTTTTAAAACTTTGAGTGGAATCTCGAAATGTAAAGCCCAAAGATAACCATATCTAGTAGCGGTGAACTTGAACACAAATGGTATCAGAGCCAGACACTGGACGATGTGCTAGCAAGGAGGCTAGTCCCCGATTGGGGGTGGACACCATGCTAGCGACAACACTGATCCCCGAGGGGGTAGATTCTTTACAAGGTTGTGGAAACTTCTCTCTAACAGATGTGTTTTAAAACCTCGAGTGGAAGCCCATAAGGAAAAGCTCAAAGAAGACAATATCGGGTAGCAGTGGGGTTAGGCTGATACATATGTACAACAGCGAGCTTTACTTAACTTTTTAGTAAAACCTCTTCTATATGCTATCAATAGAGTATCTAAGAAGAACATAAAAAAGGTAAAAATATAATTTTGAGACAAACCGGACATTTTTTTTAGTTTGTTAGTGAGACATATACGTTAACATGATCATAAAAGGTCTTTTACATGGTGAATACGAGCATTGTATAAATTATTTAAAAATTTGATCGAGAATTCGGACTTGAAAATGTGTAGTGGTGATTTAGAACAAAAAATGGAACGCTACAGTGTTCCATGTCACCGTCACACTTTTTTATATCTCAAATTTTATTTGAAATTCTAAATGAGATTCCGTTCAAGAAAAAAAACATCAAGAATAATATTATGAATTTTTCAAAAAAGTCAAGCATAATTAAATGATTTTTTTATTTTAACCCTAATTTTTTTTTAATAAGGAATGAAAGGTTAATTTGAAATTTTAAAGTTTATGAAAATGAAAGACTTTGTAAGTTTACATTTTAATCCAAATTTTAGATAGTGAGGAAAAGGAACTGACTTGTTGGCTAAGTCAGGTTTTGGTAGATCGATAGAATCGAAACAAAAAAGCAAACCATTTCAGTAGCGAATCCCCCAATTCTCACTCAATTCCTTATTTTTTCTCATCTCCTTCCTCGCTCTCTGTTCCAAGAATCTTGCTTCCCCCAATAGGGTTTGTAAAACCCTAGTTTTGATTTTTGGATTCATTTCTCTGTTGCCCACAGATCCGAGCTCCGTTTCAGTGTTCGTATCGTCAAAGCTATGGCGACCTTGGTGAGCTCGGCTGGTGGGCTTTTGGCGATGCTTAATGAGACCCATCCTTTGCTCAAGCTTCACGCTCTATTGAATCTCAACAATTTGGTCGACAACTTTTGGCCCGAGATCTCAACTAGCGTCCCTGTCATGTATGTATTTGGTTTCTCCTTTTTTCTTGATGAAAGTTTGCGTTTTAATTTGTTGAGTTCTTCGATTCTTTACTTGGATATTGTTCTTTTTAGTTTTCTTGGATTATGGGGCTGTTAATATACGAGGGAGAAATAGATTATTTCTTTTCGGTGTGGATTCGTCGTGGATAATGTCTAAACTAACAAATTCTAGCGGGTGTTACTTGATGTTTTGACACTTTCTTTTGTTGGGTCTGAGAAATTGGAGTCTTGAGTGCCGAAGTGTTATTTTGGAGAAATTCAAGTTGACATTTGTAAAATTAGCGACTGCTGGGTAGACATTGGGTTGAAACTAAGTTGAATCATGCTTTATGTCGACCTGCACTCTGATTCTGGAATTTGGATCAGTAATAAACAACCGTGCCTTCTAATGTAGGTTGCTAGTTTAGTTAATTTTTCTTTTGACAACATTGCGAACCCGAAATTTATCGAGGTTTCTTGGTAAAATAGATGGTGTTTGAGTTGTGATATTCCAGTTGTTGGGTTTTTATGAGCCTGGGCGTTTACATCCTCCATGGATCATGACATCCATATATACAGGAGTTCTTAGTTAAGGTGACTAGGTTAGCATTCTGGGTAATCTGCTACCATGTCGTAAGGAATCACTCCAAGGCTTGGAAAGCGCGAGCAAGTTCTGTTCTCTTGCTCTCGGTACAAACTTGGGAAGCTAATTCATGGGTAGAGCCAAAGAGGGTGAACTGTACAAGTTATATGGAAAAGTGACGGGGATAACTCATAGCTCATGAGTGTTCATTATTCATGATTGATTACAAGGGGTGTTGTTTAATGCTGACTTATTGTTAATCATTTTCTAACAAGTGGGTGGTTCATCCTAACTGTGATTTATGACCAGCAGTCAAATATGATGTAAATAGATCTGGGAAGAGGTGGAGAGATTGTGTGAGGATGTTTGGAAGGTTCTTAGGTAACGTTTCTTATGGGCGTCAATCAACAACATTTGTGCAGTTATGAGCTTGGTGTAATTCTGTTGGGTTGGTGTCATTTATTTGTAATTTTGAGATTAGGGTTTAGGTTCCTTTATGTTGGGCTTGTTTTTCGTATTTTTCTTTCATTTCCTCGATGGAAGCTCGGTTCTTACTCATAAAAAGGAAAAAAAGTATATGGGCCTGTGTTGTAACAAAATAATGGGATGACTTGTTGTTTGTGTTGGATATCGTAGAAGTATGCTCTATGACTTGTGTTGCGGGTGGTGATATCATTGATATGATAGTGCATATTGTTGCTCTATATGTAATATATGTTTCACTTCTTTTCAGTGAAAGCTTGTATGAAGATGAAGAATTCGATCAGCATCAGAGACAACTAGCAGCGTTACTTGTATCAAAGGTAAACATGGTCTTTCTCTTTTGGTTTCTCTGGGATACAGATTGTTTGTTTCTCTTCACTTTCTTCACTTTCTATAAATTGTTTTGTTTTCCATTCATTGATAATGGATTACCCCACCTTTAACTCACAGGTGTTCTATTACTTGGGTGAACTTAATGACTCCCTATCTTATGCACTTGGAGCTGGTTCGCTCTTCGACGTTTCTGAGGATTCTGATTATATTCATACCCTTCTAGGTAAGAATAATCACTATCTTCATCAATTAGATATTAGTCTGTAAAAGTTATTATTAAACTCATATATATAGATTTTCTTCAAAATTTCTGTTTGTGGCTGAAGATGAATCTTAAGCATGTCGAATAATGATGTTTTCTGGTTTTGTTAATAACTTATGATTGTACAAGAGACAATTGACATTAATAGAGGGATCTTAGGATGCTTAGATAAAGTGAGACTCGATAATTTGATATTGATGTTTCTTTATTTGAAATCTCAGCTAAAGCTATCGATGAATATGCTAGTCTTAAGTCTAAGGCAGCAGAGTCGAATGCAGCAGGGACGAATGTTGACCCAAGGCTGGAGGCAATTGTGGAGAGAATGCTTAATAAGTATGTGGGTCTCTCTGTCTCTAGCATGATGCCTCTCTTTACTACCCATTAGTTACTCATTATGTGTTCATTTAGGTGTATCACGGATGGGAAATACCAACAAGCTATGGGAATTGCAATTGAGTGCCGAAGATTGGACAAATTAGAGGAAGCGATCACGAAAAGTGATAATGTTCAAGGAACTCTATCCTACTGCATAAACGTTTCACACTCATTTGTTAACCTTAGAGAATATAGACACGAGGTGAGTGATTTAATCAACTTGCTCATTTACCAGCCTAAAAGTATTACATTGTTTTCTTGGATGAGAATGTTGAGGGTTGATTCTCATCTTTCTTCTTTCATTAATCCTATAGGTTCTTCGTCTTCTTGTCAAAGTATATCAGAAGCTGCCCTCTCCAGATTATTTGAGCATTTGTCAGTGTCTTATGTTCTTGGATGAACCTGAAGGTGTTGCAAGCATATTGGAAAAACTTCTTCAATCCGAAAACAGGGACGACACTCTTCTGGCGTTTCAAATTGCCTTTGATCTCATAGAGAACGAGCACCAGGCTTTTTTGTTAAATGTGAGGGATCGGCTCCCAAATCCCAAGCCTGAACCTCCAGCAGCAGCACAGCCCGGTTCAAATGAGTCTGCTCAAAGTGAGAGTTCTCCTGCTCCTGTGGATGCTCAAATGACCGATGAAAGTTCTGCCCCCAATCTGAATGTACAACAAGCAGATCCAAAGGAGGCAGCGTATGCTGAGAGGTATACAAAAATCAAGGGAATTCTATCAGGAGAAACATCAATACACTTGACCCTACAGTTCTTATACAGTCACAACAAGTAAGAAATTTTCTTCTTAAGCCTTCCTTACATTGTCGTTCCCGGTTTGAAGTATACAGAGATTGTATCTTTTGTTTTTTTTTTTTACCTTAATTGTCGATAGATCGGATCTTCTCATTCTGAAGACAATAAAGCAATCTGTAGAGATGAGAAATAGTGTCTGCCATAGTGCTACAATTTATGCTAATGCAATCATGCATGCTGGAACCACTGTCGATACATTTCTCCGTGAGAACTTGGTGAGCCTGATCTTGGACTACAATATTTTCCTTCATTTTGTAATTAATTTATTGTTCGTTGACATTTATGATGTCTTGCTCTTCTTTTATTTATCTAGGACTGGTTGAGCAGGGCAACCAACTGGGCTAAGTTTAGTGCTACAGCAGGGCTTGGTGTTATTCACAGAGGGCATTTGCAGCAGGGAAGATCTCTTATGGCACCATACTTGCCA